ATTATTGCTATAATAATGTTCACATTCAAACCTTTACATCTGAGGAAAGCACTAGTGCACACACAGGACACGGTCAGTAGTCTAATAGTGCTGTTTATCATATGCCATCAGAGTGTAAACGTTTTTCAGAATAAGGGAATGATTCTAGAACATCCACAGTAAAAAATAAATACTATCCTGTTAGGCCAGCAACACTTACTACCGGTCTTAAATTCCCAGCTACGGTTCAGTGTGTGACAGTCCACGTTTCTACTTCCCTGGTTTTAAGAGCCACAGCATTAAAAGAAAGCTGTGACGTCACACACACAACCCTGCTCGTCTTCCGGGTGCTATGCGGCCAGTCTACCCTGTTCACATACTTTCCAAGAACAAGCCTTGGGCCCCGGTGCCTTCATCCCAGCCCATGGCAGCGCCCTAGGCCTTGGAGACGGGCTCAGTGGTCCCAATCGCTGGGGCCCTGCCCATCGCTGTCCTCCTCCTCCTCCTCCTCGTCCGAGTCGGCAGACACCCTCTTGATTCTCTGCAGCGCCGCCTTGATGCTCCTCTCCAGGTCGCTGGTTGCTTTACTGCTGGGGCTCATGCCAAGGTCAGGGTGAACTTTCTTCAGTTTGACGCCCTGCCTTATGGCAGCCAGGATATGCTCGTTGACTGAGGTGCGGGGAGCAGCCGAGGGCACATCCACTTTCTGGAGAGGGGTCCTGCCACGCCTCAAGGCGGCCAACACCTCATCCATGGATCCTGAAACTGAGTAAACAGAGCACATACCATCAACAAGTGATACTCATCGTCCCCAAGCTTCAGGACATTTTTGGACCAGGTAAAGTCACACGTCAGTTAACGCCATGATTGAAACAAATAATCATTTCTGTAAACAGATGTTTTGATAACTTGCTAGAAAGGCCACCCAGAAGCTCCCTGTGTGGGTCCAGGAGAATGGAATCCCTAATGTTTTACCTTGACCACTTACTTCCCATCACTCAAATCCACAGCAACTCACAGGCACAGCCGTGCACACCTTTGGTCAGAGTGGCTGTTTTTTAAGACACGGATGCTGTGCTATTTCCATGTGATCCTGCAGAGAGTTACAGATGCCTGGGGTGTGAAGAATGTGATCGCACGGGTATGACTTAGACACTGCTGAAACACTGTATTGCCTCCATTTCCCTTGCCACTTCAAAAACTTTTTTAAAAAGCATACCCTGCTGTCTCTCTCCAACTCCAGTCTTGGATATTAGTCAGCGAGGATTGATGAGTCAATGTGACAGTGAGGTGAGTAGGTTTCCACACATGAAAAGGCTTAAAGTAAAACCTTCATCAGTAGCTCAATGAACCTGGCAGAGGTGGCACTGGCACATCTCTGTATAGAGTGCNTCTCAGTCAATTCTAGGACCCCCTTTTCTCCAGATGCGTGTCTTCAAAGGTTCGGGGGAGCTTATATGTTCCCAGGGTGTTAGGGGACAGGGGGCCGGTGTCTGCCGAGATGTCTCCTGTTCCTCCACCACCTAGTGTCATGTTTGTGTGCTTGGAAATACAAGAATTACTCAGATGTCCCCATGCTGCAGAATTCTCCGTGAGGCTGTCCCAGGCCCTCTCTGCAGCTAGCCCCTGTTTGAGAGCAGAGGTTTGAGGCGGAGGGTGATTGAAGTTGAAGGGAATGCTAGCTAAGCCAGATGTGTGTTTGCAGGCGACAGCGTACAACTAGCTGGAAGTGCGTCTGTGGCCACCAATGCTTGTTCTGTGACAGTCAGAGTCGCAGGCCCTTCCTTACTGCTTACTTGTGGGTGGGCTTTGACCCTCAGGGTGCAGATCAGCAACGCCCAGGGGACTTCTCTCATGCTTCTTACATAGGTCTTTCACACGTACAGCTCTTGAAGCATTCTTTTGTGTGTTCATTTAACAAATATTTCTTGAGCACCTCTATGTCTAAACCCTGGGAACATAAAAGTGAAAAGACACGGACCCTCGCCATAAACCTGTTACTTTCCGGTGGAGAGGTGAGATGCTGTGTTGCAGGTGCTAATGGGCCTCAATTGATGGCAGTTTGTTTGTCCCCCTCAAGCAAGGCTCTCATAGGTGGGCAAGGCCAGGGGTCTGAGCACACCCTGTTTCTGCAGAGCTGGGGTGATCCCAGGCCACTCTAAAGACCTTGTGAAACACCAGGCTTCATAACCTTGGGCGGAACCCACAGTGACTAAGTACTCATGCCACACTCTTCCCTCCTGACAGCCCCATGTGTCCTGTCTGACTTGTGCATAGTAGTGTCTTTCTAAGGATGGTCTGCAGACCAGCCACTTCAGAGCTCTCTGGGTTTTCAGTCCATCTCAGAAAAACCTCCTGGCTTAGGTACCTTTGCAGTCCGGGCCCGGCGGTGTGCATTCTAGCAACCTCCTTGTGCTAGACAGGATGACGGCCCTTCAAAGGTGTCTGCGTCCTCATCCCTACAACCCATGAATATGTGACCTCACGTGGCAGAAGGGCCCTTGCCTGTGTGGTTAAACTTATGCCCCTCAGATGGGTGATTATCCTGGATTATCTGGGTGGGCCCAACCTAATGACATGAGTTCTTAAAAGCAGAGACCCTTTCCTGGCTGGGGTCAGAAAGGAAGATGATGATGGAAGAGGAGTCAGAGAGATACGATGTTGCTGGCTTGGAAGATAGAGGACGGGGCCACAAGCCAAGGAGAGCAGTCAGCCTGTGCAAATGGGAAAAGGCACGAAAACGGCTTCTCCCCTAGAGCCTTCAGAAAGGAACACAACCCTGCTGACACCTTGAGATTAGCCAGTGACGCGTGTCGGACCTCGGACCCGCAGGACGGTAAGGTAATAAATTCATGTTGTTTTGAGCCTCTAAGTTCGTTATGGTAGCAGTAGAAAACCAATGCACTCCCTAAATGAGTTTACACCCCTAAGATTTGCGAGTCTCT